CTGCTTCTCCCTCTGACCCTCCCCCTCTCATGCTCTCTCTATCTCATTCTCTCTCTCAAATAAATAAATAAAATCTTTAAAAAAAAAGATTTTATTTATTTGAGAGTGAGAGAGAGCATGAAAGAGTGGGGTGAGGGTGGGGTGAGGCACAGAGGGAGAAGCAGACTCCCCACTGAGCAGGGAGCCTGATGTGGGGCTCGATCCTGGGACTCCAGGATCATGACCTGAGCTGAAGGCAGATGCTTAACTGACTGAGCCACCCAGGTGCCCCTTCAGAATATTCAGACTTATCAGATTCTATGTGTGTGAAGACAGTTTGGTCATCCTTCCCCCAGATCTGCTGCTCCTCCATTTCCTGTCTCAGTAAATGGTCATTATTCTTTGGCCAGAAATGAGAGAGCAGTATTTGACTATTCCTCATCCATGTCTCCCCCTACACCTAACCAATTATCAATTTTCATCTATTCAACCTCCTATTTTTCTTCATATCCTTTTTCCCCTTCTCCTATTGCCACAAACTCAGTTCAAAGGGACCTTAGTTTTTTCTTCTTTTCTTCTAATCCATTTTTCTCCATACTTCTGCCAGAGTAATTGTTCTTAAATGCAACTTTTCTCATATCACTGCCCAGCTTAAAATCCTTTAGAGGTTCCTCTGCCTTCATGATTAAAAATAAAGCCCCTGAGTGTGACTACCAGAGTTCTGCATTACCATCTCTTGCTATGTGTCCAGCTTTATTTCTTGACATGCCTACCCTCTTGCCACCTCAGTTTCCAGTCAAGTGCAGTATTTCTTGTTCCCAGAACTTGACATGTGTTCTTTTACTACTTTGCTTTAGGATACTCCCTGTCCCTGGAACACTCTGTCCTTCCTCCTTACTTGACTCACCACAGAAGGCTGAGCTCAATATCTTCTTGCCCCTTCCCATGTCTAAATCCGTTACCCATCCTGTGTGTTCCCATAGCCCTCTCTGGTCATCTTCCTCATGACATGTATCACCTATGGAAGGAGTCTATGTGCCTGTCACCCTCAGAATACAGCGAACTCCTTAAAAGCAGAGACCCAGTCTTATTTAGTTTTTCACCTATAGCTGGAACAGTACTTTCATACAATAGTTGATCAGAGACTATTTTTGGAATGAGTTATAGACAGTGCATAGAAAGGATAAGTGGTACAAGTGTCAAGAGACTTGACTCTAGACCACAATATTCTCCACTCAGAACCTGGTGACACCATCGCCTCTGTTTACTTATCCAGAGGGGTGACTCATAGCAGTGATGGAGATATAGCTTCTCATGTGAGAAGAGGATTCACAGTGAAGTTTTTGAAAATCTACAGGTGTCTGGATCAATGAGCCCAATTTAATATAGGCAGAAGACACTTTTATTGGGAATTCTGGGGGATTTGTCTTAAGTGGTTTATCCTTCAGGACAAATTCAACTGTGCATATGCTTTTGCTTCATCCATAGCAATTTTGAAAAATACCCTCAAATGATTGAATAAATAGGGTAAGACATTAAGTAGAGCTCTTTATTTGGAAAACATGGAAAGAACAGAGTGAAGGAATAGAGAATGATAAAACAGAGAGGCCAAAAGAGATAAATGAAAAATAATCATGGAAACTACACACATATACAAATCCAAATAATCCAAAACAGTAGTCAGAACTATATCCTTATACCAAAGAGGAACTGGGCTTTCCCAGCCCAATATTTCCTTAAATTAACGTCTCCAGCATGCATGTAATTCCAAGATGATAAATGAGTGCTCTGCTTTGAAAAATGGTGAGAGGATGGGAACTGAGTTGCCCAGAAAGGGTAGAGATGAGTCTGTGGAAGCTCTGGATGGTGGGGAATTGGGGACAGATGATTGAGCTGGGGTTATATTGCATATATTGAGTATATTGAATATATATATACATATATATGTGTGTGTGTGTGTGTATATTCATTAATTGAAACTCTGAGAAACCAAAAATCATGATTCCAAATATTTCATAGTATCATGAAAGTACAAATGCATATAAATATGTTAGTTTCAAATATAATTCCAATGTAAATAAATATTTAATCTTGAACACAATTCCACAAAGTTGTATATGTGGAACTTGGGCCCAACTTCCGTTAAGTCCAATAGGTTATTCATTTGAACCTCCTTTAATCTTGACTCTTAGAGGAAGTAATTGATTGCCAGGAGCAAAAGTGGTGAATCTGGAATATGGATCCAGACCTAATTCCAAATCGAGAGCTTTAACTAGAACTCCACAACCTTCTTAAAAAACTCTAGGGAAAATCTCCTACCCACCCCCAAAAAAATGCTGTTCTGTCACATTAAATAAAATAGTTTATTTTAAAATAGAATTGTACACATAGATAATAATAGTATCCAACTTTACAATCATGCCCACTCCTATACATTCTCTCTACTCTATAAAAACTCAATCATTTTAATTATCCATATTTTCTTCCTATTCTCTGTCAATATGAATATGTGATTCTACTAAGAATATAGTTTCTTAAATGTAATTTTAGTGGATATCAATAATTTAGCTGTATCAATTCAAATATGCTTTTAAATACTATAAGCACATGTTCTGATTTATTTGGAAATTTTTTCCTTAATTTTTATGATAATGCTAGAAATAAAAGGAACCCTTAGATTTTGTTGGAATGCAATAGATTTCCCGGTTTTAAAATTGTATACTAAATATAAACAGTATGCAAGATACCTTATTTTAAATATATAAGGCATTTGTATTTTTGTAGCAAACTTAGCTTTTTAGGATAGAAATAACCATTTTATTTAAGAACATACTTTTGGTGTAGAGGAATATTATCCTCCTCCCCTTACTAACAAATTTATAATAACAATAGAAGGAACTTCTAAAGAACTTTTATCTGAGAAACCCAAACAACTTTCAGATTGTAGGCCATTATTCCTCAGTGCTTTAATAGGGATAAAATAAAAGCAGATATGCTGAGTTTACAGGAATGTGGCTACAAGTGTTCTCTGCACCTGAGCCCTGATGAAACCAACCACAAGCAAGGTCCCCATCAAATTCCACTTTGTAGTTGTTAGCTGTGAGTGGGAAGTCACCATAGTTTCCAGCAAGAATTCATTTGGGAATTAAGTTTAATCAAGACCGGCTTGAACTGACATCACATGTTTGTTGCCTGGTTTGAGAAGTTGAGGATTATGATCTGGATAAGAGTTTCCAAGATCATGGAGAAACTGTTTCCAATTTATCAGAACTCTTTCAGGTTGTCTTTCAGTGACTGGAAGATCTAGGCAAAATAATTCATTTTCTTCTTTTTTTTTTTAAGATTTTATTTATTTAGAGAGAGAGCATGCATGCTTTTGGTGGGGGAGGGGAGAGGCAGAGGGAGAGAGAGAATCCCAAGCAGACTACACACTGGGTGTGGAGCACAGCCGGGCGGGGGCTCGATCCCACAACTGTGAAATCATGACCTGAGCCGAAACCAAGAGTCCCACACTCAACCAACTGAGCCACCCAGGTGCCCCCATTTTATTCTTTAAATAAATTGGAAAACGTTAAAAACCATTAAAGGATCAAAGAGGCTATATGGCTCAAAGTACTATATTAAAGATGCACAGACTGAGACCCAGAGAGATTAAGGGCTGTGCCCAGTTTTAGGTTCTTGGATCAGGAGTTGGCCCCCAAGGTCCTGTTGAGTTGTCTTTCCACTAGGGTGGGCCCTGAAATTTTGCCTGAATATCTATTATCAAAACAACATGAGAAAAGGATTCTTTCATTTTCAACTCTTTCTCCTTTCTGCAGCTTCGTTGTGTTGAAGATCTTCAGACAATTCAAGTGATTAAGATTTTAAGATATGAAAAGAAAGTGGCAAAAATGTGCTTTTTAATGATATTTATCTTCCTTATCTTTTGGATGCCTTATATCGTGATCTGTTTCTTGGTGGTTAATGGTTATGGACACCTGGTCACTCCAACAGTATCTATTGTTTCATATCTCTTTGCTAAATCAAGCACTGTATATAATCCGATTATTTATATCATCATGATCAGAAAGGTAAGTGTGGTAATAAACACATTGTTTTCACCATGTAGATGTGGTTGTTGGAAAATATAATACTTTTTATAGAGATTATTCAGGACATCTTCAATGATAAAATCTAAATCAAGAATTTTATAGGAAAAAGTGTTCAGGAATAAATGTAAGATATTCCCAAAGAAAATAATAACAATTCTACGATCTACCAAAAGATCTTGTTAAGTAAAATTCTATTAAAGTTAATATTTAATTCATCAGGGAACATTTTATGTCTAGTAATAATAATAGCCACAAAGTTTAATTTACTTAAAATTCTTACTGTACTATGGAGGTTATACCCATTATCTTTCAAAACACCATGAGATAGGCACTAATATTTCTTACTTTATTTATGAACTATAACACAAGTTCAAAAAACTCAAATGACTTGCCCAATCCAGGAATTGTTGGTGCCTGGATTCCAATCTGGTTTGCTTGAACACCAAAGTCCATGCTCATAGCTAACCACTTAGGGTTACAGGTACCATTATTCACATGCCACAACCAGTGTGTAGCTCAAATTAATTTGGTTCCAGAAACTCCTCTAGATCTAATGGGAAGCTTATTATCTGTTTTTGTGGTAGAAAGGTTTTGACTTGATGATTGTCAGTCATGACTATGAGAGCCCCCATTATGATTGCCGTGAAGCATGAAGCTAAGCCTCTAAGTTACAAAGCTTAAATATAAGAGAACTTAGAAGTTATAAATAATGGCTAATTACTACATTGAAATTTTTTTATTTTTATTTTTTAAATATTTATTTATTTTAGAGAGAGAGAGCGAGAGAGAACACGAGGTGGAGGGACAAGGGGGCAGAGAGGAGGCAGAAGAGGGAGAGGGAGGGAGAATCTCAAGGAGACTCTGCACACACACCCTGAGATCTCACAACCCTGAGATCACGACCTGAGCCAAAACCAAGAGTCTGATGCTCAACGGACTGTGCCACCCAGGAGCCCCTCCATTGGAATTTTAAAGTAACAGGTCGGAATAACAGGCAATAATAGCTACTCTGGCTACTAATGCTCAAAAGTTTGGAATAAGAGAGCATTTCTTCAATTAACCTTATAATGTTCACTGCTAAATCTCCCTCTTCTTACTTTCATATGGTTTCAATCTCTATTCACTGATGGTCTTTCTCTTTGATGATGCCTTCATTTATCTATTTACTTGAACCCAGAGAATTTTAACTTGGAGTCTTTAAAATCTGAGAATTACGTGAAGTGGCTTCAGGAGAGCCATGAGAACCCCTGAAATTAGTCATAAAACTTTTTAAGAATATGCACATGTGAATTTTTCTGACAAGATAGTTCATAACTAATTTTTTGAGGATGTAAGGGCTTCATATTTTAAGAAACAGTACTTCAACAGGCAAATAATTACATTTAAAATATATTACCTAATAATTATTTTTTGGGTTCTTTCTCTGGGCCAGTGGGCCATATGTCAGTTCTTTTAAAAATTTAATGTGCATACATCACACCAGGAGAGACTGTAAACAAAAGTGCATATTCAGATTTGGTATGCCTGGGTGGCCAAGATTCTGCATTTTAACAAGCTTGCACGTGGTCCACATGTTTCTGGTTCAGGAACACACTTTAAACAGGAAGTCTAAAAGACACAATAAACTAACAAACAAAAATAAACAAATAAATAAAATAATGGTCCTTATCTTCAAGGAGCTTACCATTTATGTGGGAAAACATATTTTGGCATACTTTAACCCTTATAATAATGTATCTTTAGCACTTAACCTGATATAGCAAACACTAGTTTGATGAACAGATAGTCTCAAGCAAATATTTTTAAATGTGAGTATAAAATAAATACTAACTTGTGTATAAGTGAGGTTTAAAGAAGACAGAAATCAATGTAGCTAGCTATTGTATTTCATTGATATTTCCTGATCTGGAAAAGCCCATGTATTAAACTTTTATTTTGCTCTGAACAAAGGGGATAAAAGTTAAATTAAGTAACTTTTTATTTATGTTTTATTGGTCATGATAGACTATTGTAACAAATGACTCCACCATTTCAGTGGATTAACAAGAAAAAGGTTTTTCTCATTTATTTTTTAAAAGATTTATTTATTTATTTTCCAGAGAGAAAGAGAGCACATGCGAGAGCACAAGTTGGGGGAGGGTCAGAGGGAGAGAATCTCAAGCAGACTCCCTGCTGGGTGCAGAGCCCCCCATAGGGCTTGATCTCAAGACTCTGAGATCATAGCCTGAGCCAAAACCAAAAGTCAGAAGCTCAACTGACTGAGTCACCCAGGTGTCCCAAGGTTTTTCTCATTTATATCCTGGTCCATAGTCCACTGTATTTGCTGGAGGACAGGGGATCTGTCCCATGCAGTTCTGTAGGAATCTAGGTTCCTTCATGTTGTGATGTTATCATCTTCAGACTTGACCTCTAAGGTCTTGTAGGAGGGGAAGAGCAGGGAGGAGCCCCTGAAAGGGAACTGAGAAATATGGTTCAGTGTTATACCCAGGACAGGGGGAGGATCATGGGTATTGGTGAACACTAGCACTCTCTGCTGTAGTATTTTTTCTCCAAATGGTTTATAATCTTTATAGAATTAAACTCTTTACCTAATCAAAGGAACATTAGTGAGTACAGCAGACTGTAAACTCTGCAGGAAGGGCCTTGTCAGTCTTTGCTGCCCACAATATTCCCAAATTGTAGCACAGTGGCTATTACCTTGTAGACGCTCACTGAATATTTGTGGAATGAATTAATGTTCAAATTCCTTAAAGAAACAGATTTAGTTGCCCTCATAAAAGGTGCATGCAACTTGAATCCATAGAGATTATAAGGTATTGTAATAGTCCTATATGATTTTGTTAATAAGAATTATAATAATAAAAACCATAAAACTCCAGGATTATTTAGGTACATATGAGCATTGCCACCTAACCCCACACCCACCCCAGCTAACAAATAAAAAAGAACAACCAAAATTAAACTCAACTAATTTTATTGAATGTTAATCCAGATTAAGGGCCAAATTTTTACTTTATATTCAACTTTATTTTCTCTCTGCCCAGTTCCGAAGATCTCTTTTGCAACTGCTATGTTTCCGACTGCTGAGATGTCAGAGGCCTGCTAAGGACCTACCAGCCAATGGGAGTGAAATGCAGATCAGACCCATTGTGATGTCACAAAAAGATGGGGACAGACCAAAGAAAAAAGTGACTTTTAATTCTTCTTCCATTATTTTTATCATCACCAGTGATGAATCACTATCAGTCGATGACAGTGACAAAACCAGTGTGCCAAAGGTTGATGTAATCCAAGTTCGTCCTTTATAGGAAGGAATAATGGTAATGAAAGATGAGGCCTCCTACTGGAAACCACTTCTAGACTTCCATTTTAAGGACTGTTTTGGAATCCCCATTCTATGTAATATTTTGGGGGAGGAAAAACTTTCTTCTGCCCTAAAAGTTTCTTCTGCCTGGTGTAGGAATAAAATTGACATGAGACAGATTAACAGGAGAAAAAAAACCCGAAAGTTTAATTCTGTGTGCACGGAGTCCCAATAATAAAATTGAGACCCAAAGAAATGAGCAAGACATGTAGCTTTTACACATTTTAAACAAAGAGACATAAATCTATAAGGAATTGACAGGACAGGAAAACTCATGTTTGGGAGCTTCGATCAGTAAAGAATTCTAAATGGGATTTGGGCTGGGTAGTAATTTAGTAAAAGTAAGGTTTATTTATGTAGGTTTTTTCAGCCCTCAATTCTCTCTCTCTGATGATACAGATGTCTCTCTACCCCCTGCTTTAGGGAGGTACTTGTCACACAAGAGATTTCCTGCTTTCAGGGGGACAAAGGAAGGTCAGACTGTCTTTTTTGCACTTGCTGTTTCTTAAGGAAGTTTAATTCAAAATTGTGGCATATTTTGGGGCAGCATGCCCTGGGCTCCCACAATATCAACAGAACTTTTGTGGCTCAGCAGGAAATCTGATTTGCCCATATGCTTTCTAGTCTCTGGAAGCAACTGAGCAAGACAATTGTTTTAATTCAATGGGTGCTTTCCATAACAAAAAACCACTTATGGCACAAGATGGGCATCTGGCACCATCAACTTCTTACATGTTGAAAATTTTCATTTTGAATATATTTTTTTAAATGACACTATTTTCCAAGGCACATAATACAGTTTTCTCAAAAATACTTAGCTGTATTCACAGCTCAAAAATGGCTGTAAAAATAACTTTGTATCATACATGTGTGAAATCACTAGGAAATCTCAAATTTTCTGTAGTGTTGGATCCTATTCACAGTCACATCCTCTTTTTGACCAAATTTATCAAAGAGACAATTCCAGGGTGAAAAAGAAAATCAGCACCTTGGCTTCCTCTGAAAAAAAAAAAGACTTGCTGTATGCAGTATGATATAGAGGAGCTTCAAGATGAATAAGCAAGGTGTTATCCCTCAAGCACATGCTCTGAGATTAGTAAATAAATCTTCCCCCATTTCCTAGGCATTTTTCAAACTCTTGCTTCTATACTATATTGTATAGTATATAAGCAATGCTGCTAAGCAAGCTCCAGAAGGAATATTAAAAAGCAACCCAGGAAAGAAAAGGTGGTGAATTTCAAAGTAATCATGGAGGCTAGGGAATCATACATTAGCAGGGGATGTACATGGAAAGGATGTGTTGATGGCCGATAAGTATTTCCATGTTTCATTTCAAACATAACTCGGCAAGATTATCTTCTCTTCTTGACAATTTGCCACAATTTTGCCAAGAGTTTTGGGTTTAGAAAAGGAGTTCCAAGCAAAAAATTAAACAAACCTACATTTGAAGGGGATGAAAGTAAGTGTAAAACTGTACTCATAAAATGTATTATTTAATCCTTTTTGCTCTTCAGTCAGTCTACTGGCTAATCAATGGTCAGTGTTAGTGAAGATGCTATTTTCCCATGAGTCATTGTTTAGACTACACACAGCTCATTAGAACTCAAGGATTTCTTTAACTATATAAAAAAGAAACTGAACCATTTAATTTTATTGCTTAGTTTTTATTTCTTAGATGACTGTCCTACTGGTGTAGCATCTTCATGATTAATCATGTCTGAAAGAATTCTGAGTGTTTCAGTTGCTCAACTGAAGAAGGAAGAACCAAAGAAAATGTTTTCACTAAAAGAACTTTTCAAAATCAAGTTTATCGCTGGTTAGTAAACTGCTTCTTGAGAATCTCAAATGGAATAATTTCTATAAAAACTGTCTTCCCTTATTTCCTTTCCACTCTGTTGTATATATCGATGTTTAATTTGTAAATAAAACTCTTATTCTTCACTTAGTATGGCATTAATAGCCCCCCCCTTTTTTTTAATCTTCAAAAGGTAATACTGGCCTTTGAAGACTGTGAAATAAAATTAGTTCATTTTGTAACTCTCTAGAGTGCCCCAAATTCCTCATTTATACTTCCAGTTTTAGTAAGTGAAGCTGAGCTCTATGCTGGATAAGTTCCATCCACGTGATCAAAACTGTACTTAACATGTTAGGCAAATCATAGTTTCTAGTCCTGGGTGTTAGGAGTCAGTCCTATTGTGACCTTAACTACGTCCTTGAAAGAGAAGATGTGATCAATGTCTTCCTTGAGGCCTCTGGTGCTTTACTTTTTGAGAAGTGAAAGAGATCTTCATCATTGCATTTTTATATTTAGAATGACCACATCTATGTGTAGTGTTGTGGGAAAGCTGTGTTTTGCAATTTAAACTGTAGCTTGGGGTTGGTTCCCCCCCCCAATAATCACAGTGAACACACAGAGAAATTCTATACTGAATTTAATTGTAAGCTGACATATATTTTTCAATAGTGAATTAAAGATGATGATAGAAACATGGTTTTGATCCTTAGTTTTAGTTAAAAAGAAATCCATTTGCCACTTCAGAATCTTTATATCACCTGCTAATGATATCGGGATTTTTTTCTAGTGACTCCATAGAGTTTGCAGGGAAACATGTCCTGTTATCTGGAAGGAAGTGAGCCAGTCCCATGGTCTTCTGAAGTAGTGCAGGGGTCTCAGTGACATGGAGCTCATAAATAGGTAGGTACTACCAATGGCTATCAGTGCCCCAAAGAAAAAGAGTCCTTTGTTTATCACCTGTAAAAAGAGCAAGAAGTCTCATTTTATTTGTCCAGAGATAAAGATCTTAAAAGACTTCATTCTTAAACAACCAAGGAGTATACAATGTCTTCTTTGTCCTTTAACCTAAAACAGCAATTTAATTGCATGATCACTAGGTCAAGACCTACAGTGGTTGGTAAGGTCAGGAATTTGGAGCTTCCTTCCTCTGTCTCTGTCCTCTCTCCCTTCCCAGAAATAATTGAATCCATTGTTCTGTATAATGAATTCTTAGCAGTCTGCCTTTGTATAGCCATAAACACACACACAGTTTATAAAAGGAGTTATAGTGCTATCTTAGAAGAGTACTGTGCTGAAGCCACAAATGATTCAGTCACTGCTCAGACCCTGCACAGAGTCTCCATGAGAAGAGTGATTGGCTTGGTGGCATTAAGTGTCCCGCATTCTCACTGCCTGTCACTGTCTTTCCCCTATTAGACTTTTAGCTCCTTGAGGGCCGGGGTCCTATTTTTTTCATCTTTGTAGGCATAAATCTAGATTCCTTCCAATCCAGTCTCCACACAGCAAAGCATTCTTTCTTTTTTTTTTTTTAAAGATTTTTTTTATTTATTCATTTGAGACACAGAGATACAGAGAGAAAGAGTGCATGCACAGGTGGAGAGGCAGAGGGAGAGGGAGAGGGAGAAGCAGGCTCCCCGCCGAGCCAGGAGCTGGATGTGGGGCTCGATCCCAGCATCCTGGGATCATGACCTGAGCCTAACGCAGACGTTTAACCATCTGAGCCACCCAGGTTCCCCCAAAGCATTCTTTCTAAAATCCACACCTGAGTCTATTAGTCTCCATTGGTCTCCTTGCTTCCCTCGAAATAATATTCAAAATGCTTGAGGTCCTTCTTGCCATTCCAGCTGCACCTCCGGCCATTCTCACACATCAGGGCTGCCTTCCAGGCCCACTGAGCCCCACCCACCCCGGCCCCTTCCGTTCTCCTCCAAGGCAGTTGTGCCCCTCCACGGAAGCTGTCAGCCTGCCCCACCAGCCTCTGAGCTACAGGAGGAGAGGGGCTGCTGCTTATTCATCACCATGCCCAGCTCAGTGTCTAGACATTGAATAAAATGATTTGCTGAATGAATAAACTTGTTAGATTTTCAAAGTCAAAGATCAGGAATCTGAATGTCTATTTCCTGGCATCTCTGGGTCAGCTGCTTAAAATGAACATGTTATGGCATTAAATTGGAATTAGATTATGTTTTATAAGTGATTCAATTCTGTCCAGTTTTACAAATTATACCCATAAAGATATTGCATGGAGCAAAATTCAGTTGCTAAATAGAAGTAAAAAAATCACATTGCTAAAATAAAGTAAAACATTTAGAAATACTAGCATCAGGGGCGCCTGGGTGGTTCAGTTGGTTAAGCGTCTGATTTTCTATTTTGACTCAGGTCATGGTCTCAGGGTTGTGGGATCAAGCCCCACGTCAGGCTCTGAGCTCAGCGTGGAGTCTGCTTGTCCCTCTCCCTCTGTTCCTTCCCCCACTTGTGCTCGCACTCTCTCTCTCTAAATAAATGAAATCTTAAAAAAAATAAATAATAGCATCAGTTTCTTTTTTGAATTTCTTCCCTTCAGAAGCACCCTCTCCCTCTCCCCCTCTTGCTTGCGCTCTCTTCCTTTCTCCCTTTTTGTAATTTTGTTCGTTAGGCACTTTACCCTCTGTGTGCCAGGACAGTTTTTATTTGGAAGCAAACATTTGCTGTCTATCCCATCGTTTCTGAATCTGCCTGAAGACCAAACCGTAGCACGATGAACTTCGACTTGTTCTGACCTTCTTCTGCCAGCGCCAGCGCAACACTGCCTCATGGTATCTTATTCTGGAAAAGGTGACCTGTAAGGATGTTTAAAAAGTATTCTTGTGATTCTTTAATGGCTAAACAGAAGAATAAAATGAGGAGGTGTCTTAAATCCAGACCTTACCATGGTATAGAGAGGGACAAAGGTAGATGGCATAAGAGCATGAAGAAATCTTTCCATGTTCTTTTGGAAGACGAACCACCTCGAGTTGACATGTGCTCTCATCTGCAATAACGTAGGAGTCTTAAAGAACACCTCCAATGAATGACGTTTATTTCTTTTCTACAACATGTTCCCATTCACTGCAAAGCTGGACACAGTGTAGTCAAATTCGTATTTCCTTAACAGTCATTTCCAATCCCTTTTAGTAAAAGTATAAGTCGTTACCTTGAAAAGGTTGAGCAACTGCTTTAAACCCGTTAGAGAACTCTATTCTGCTCATGGGGCAATACGGGAACTCCATTTCAGTGAAAGGTTTGTTCAGCCAGATCTGGGGATAGTCTGTGGGACCAAAGATTTGACTAATTGCCATTGTTTCCTGTCTGGTTTGGGATCTTCATGGCAAGAAGGGATCTTTGAAGCTGTGTCTGTCTTGACTTACTCCATACTGAGAACAAATATTGTGTTATAGCTGTCTTGTTTTTAAAGACACATGCAAGTTACATCAGCGAAGACTTTCAGTATCCTATAGAACTTCCTTCACCACATATGAAACAATTCTGCTCACACTGAAATCCACTTTATCTTTTTTGTCTAGTTTTTTTTATTTTTTTCTGTCTTTTCTTTAAATTTATCTTGTAGGATTTTTCATTTGACCATTTAAAAAGTTTAACCGTAACTATTTGTTGTGAATTTTTCATGTGACTGACTCAAAATGTAATTGTGTTTTTCTTCTGAGTATTAATCCTCTGACCATGAATTTCTTTGGTATATACATATTTTTTTTCGGTGCATAAGGCCTCAACGGATATTATAAAGCTACTCCAAATTTGTAGCTTATAATGTTAACAGTGTTAAGGTCATTTAATGTTTCTTAAATCTTCCAAATATGTTAATACATATCAAAATTATATTTTCCTTAAAATAAAATATTCCTAGCTCTACCAAATGTCTAAGGTTTGAGCCTGTGAATTATCAGTGATTGAAATCAGAATTTTGTCATCTTTGTTACCTCTTAAATGTCCCTAAAATGTAGATGGACATGATGTGTGTGGGTCATTGTCACGTCTACAGTCACAATCCACCCATGTGCAAGGAATACTGTGTGTGTGTATTCTTTTTGTACCTATTCTTGTTTGGCATGTTTGCGATGGGGTGGAGCAAAGAAAAATTAAAGAACATTTGTGACTTCTGGGGAAGATTGCAGAGTAGGAGGATCCTAGGTTCATCTCATCCCATGGATACACCTAGATAACAACCACATCAGTGTAAAAAACCCAGAAAAATGACCCGAAGCTGGCAGAACAGACTCTCCACAGCTAAATACAGGGAAGAGGTCACATTGAAGAAGGTAGGAAGGACAGAGACACAGTCAGGAGCCACAGTGACCCACAGGACTATCCGTAGGAGGTAAGGGCACTGCTGTCATGGAGAACGGAGAGCAGGAGGCCCCACGCCAGGCACCCTAGGCATAGGGCACCCACACTGAGAGGACAAATTCACATAAAATTTGGCTTTGAAAACCAGAGGGGCCTAACTTGGAGAGTTCTTACAGTCAGTGGGGCTTAACACCTGGAACTTCAAAAATCAGAGGGCTCCGCTGGGAGAGACCTGGAGGGTGAGAGGAAACTGAATCCCCACCCTTAAAGAGACAGCACAACAAACAGAATCGCTGATATACAATATAGTATAGAAGCAAGAGTTTGAAAAGTGCCTAGGAAATGCGGGAAGATTTATTTACTAATCTCAGAGCATGTGCTTGAGGGACAGGTATCTTTGGGAGACTTCTCCAAGAAAAAAAGAGCTGGTGCATGCCATTCCCTGCCCCACCCATGGACACTTGCCAGAACCATGGCAGCACCAACTATCTCCACCTACCTTGCTAACAGCACACCTACCCCCACATTCTCCTGCAGATCTGCCACTTCCAACACACCCTTGGCAGAAGTCCACCCAAAGCAGTGCCACAATCCTGGCGGTGGCAAGCAGCCCCAACAGGGGTCAGCACCACTCCAAAGTGACTCCTGCCCTGGGGAGAAAGAAATATAACCACACATACCAGTCCAGTGGCAGCCCCAGCATTGGGCTGAGGGCAGACATCTGATCTGAATGCAGGCTCTTCCCACCAACAAAAACTCAGGGGACAACGCAGGGAGAGTGCCCTGCAGTTTGATGGTATGACAGCCCTGACCAACACCTGGTCTGACTCAACTCAACTCCAAGGTAGTCCCAGCTTGGCCCACTAACTACACAGGGATAAAACCCTAACCACAACAGGCAAAGACAGCTTCTGCAGATGCTTGGACTGAAGGCAAATGTGGCTCAGCCACAACAGTAGGGCACAGGCAACTAACATAAGAGACTCCCCTGGAGCGCCAGGTTCTGGTGAACAGGAGACACTGCACTGCAGGGCACCACAGAACCTCTTCTTCAAAAGGCCACTACTTTCAAGAGCAGAAGATGTAGCTCACTTTCCTAACACACAGAAACAGATACAGCGACTTAGGCAAAATGAGACAGAGGAATAAGTCCCAAATGAAAGAACAGGACAAAATCGGAACAAGAGACCTAAGTGAAATGGAGATGGGTAATATGCCTGATAGAGAATTTAAAGTAATGGCCATAGAGTTACTCACTGGACTTGAGAAAAGAGTGGAGGAACTCAGTGAGACACTCAACAAAGAGATAGAAAACATAAAAAAGAACAAATCAATTTGAAGAACTCAGTAACTGAAATTAAAAATACACTAGAGGGAATAAATAGTAGACTAGAGGCTGCAGAAGAATGGATCAGTGACCTGGAGGACAGAGTAATGGACAGCAATCAAGCTGAACAGGAGAGAGAAAAAAATAATAATAAATGAAAGTAGACTAAGGGAAATCAGTGACACTATCAAACATAAGAATATTCAGATTATAGAGATCCCAGAAGGACAAGAGAGAGAAAAGGGGGGCAGAAAATTTATTTGAATAATAGCTGAAAACTTCCTGAATCTGGGGAAGGAAATGGATAGCAAGATCCTAGAGGCACAGAGAGCCCCCAACAAAATCAACCCAAGAAGGTTCACACCAAAGACACATAGTAATTACAATGGCAAAAAGTAGTGATAGAGTATCTTAAAAGCAGCAAGAAAACAGTTACATACAGGGAAAACCCCCTAAGGTTATGAGTTGATTTTTCAGCGGCCAGAAGGGAGTGGCATGATATATTCAAAGTGCTGAAAGGAAAAACTTGCAGCCAAAACTACACTATCCAGCAAGGCTATTATTCAAAATATAAGGAGAGATAAAAAGTTCCCCAGATAAACAAAAGTTAAAGGAATTAATGACACTAACCCAGCCCTACAAGAAATGTTAAAGGGGACTCTGAGTGGAAAGGAAAGACCATAAGAGTAAGAAAAGTAGGAAGCACAAAAGCAGTAAAAATAAGTATATCTATATAAATCAGTCAAGAGATTCACAAAATAAAAGGATGTAAATATACCCATATACCTAAAATGTGGGATAGAGGGAGAGGAGTAAAAAATTAGTGCTTTTAGAATGGGCTCAAACTTAGGTGACCATCAACTTAATATAGAATTCTATAAGCATTCTTTGTTATATATAAACCACAAATGAAAAACCAGCAATAGATATGCAAAAATAAAGAGAAAAGAATCCAAATATACCACTAAGGAGCCAGCAAACCATAAGAGAAGGGGGCAAGAGAAGAAAGGAACAGAGAAGAACTACAAAACAACCATAAAATAAACAACAACCTGGCGATAAATACTACTTATCAGTAATTACCATGAATGTAAATGGGCTAAATGCTCCAATTAAAAGACACAAGGTGATAGAATGAATAAAAGAAGTAAGACCCATCTATATACTGCCTACGAGAGACTCATTTCAGACCTAAAGACACATGCAAATTAAAAGTAAAGGGATGGAAAGGCATTTGTCATGCAAATGGAACTGAAAAGAAAGCCAGAGTAACAATACTTCTATCAGACAAAATAGACTTTAAACAAGACTGTAACAAGAGACAAAGAAGACATTATATAATCATAAAGGGAATAATCCAACAAGAATATAGAACAATTGTAAATATTTATGCACCAACATGAGAGGACCCAAATACATAAAGAAGCTAATAAGAAGCATAAAAGAAGTAATTGATAGTAATACAATAATAGTACGGGCTTTAACATCCAACTCACATCAGTGGATAGATCAAACAAATCAGCAAGGAAACAGTGGCTTTGAATGACACATTGGACCGGATGGATCTAACAATATATTAGAACATTCCATCCTAAAACATATGGAACATTCTCCAGAATAGATCACATATTAGGGTATAAAACAAGTCTCAATAAATTAAAAAAGATCAAAGTCATACCATACATCTTTTCTGACCACAATGTTATAAAACTAGAAATCAACCACAAGAAAAAGTCTAGAAAGAACACAAATACATGGAGGTTAAATAACATGCTACTAAATAAGGAATGGGTCAACCAAGAAATCTAAGAGTAAATCAGACAATGCATAGAGACAAATGAAAATGAAAACACAATGGTCCAAAATCTTTGCAATTCAGCAAAGCTGTTCTAAGAGGGAAATTTATAGCAATACAGGCCTACTCCAGAAGCAAGAAAAATCTCAAACAACCTAACCTTACACCTAAAGGAACTAGAAAAAGAAGAACAAATAAAACTCCAACCAGTGGAAAGAAGGAAATAATAAAGGCTAGAGCAAAAATAAATGAAAAAAGAATTTAAAAAAATAGAACAGATCAATGAAACCAGGAGCTAGTTCTATGAAAAGTTCAACAAAATTAATAAATCTTTAGTCAAACTCATCAAAGAGAGAGAGAAGACCCAAATAAACAAATCGGAAATGAAAGAGGAGAAATAATAACTAACACCACAGAAATACAAAGGATTATAAAGAATATTATGAAAAATTTTGTCATATGCCTAGAGACATATAACATCACAAAACTGAATCAGGAAGAAATAGAAAATTTGAACAGACCAATTACCAGCAAAGAAATTGAATCAGAAATCAAAAAACCCTCC